CCCCGCCATGTAGAGCAATTTAAAACACCCCAGTAAACTGCCCGGTGTATGAGAATGAATTGCAGATCGGGTATTCCCAAGTTGATACACTCTTAGGGTACCTTTTTGTTGTCATTCTCTGTCTCGCACGGAGAAAAAAAAAAAAGGCAGGAATGGCCTGTATTCTCAAATTGCTAGCAATGCTGCAACCCCCTTGTGAGTGCTTTGAATATGTATGGATTCATTAAAACAGTTGTTTGGGAATCACCTGCTTCACACAAGTGCTGATGCTGATAATGACCCGCCTGACGTTGGTTTTGCCATCGGTCCGTCTTTTCATTGTATTTTGTAAGTGCTTCAGCGTGCTGCAAGGCTACATTGTTGATACTCTTCCCAAAAGCTTCAGCAATGCAGATACTATAGACTAATAGTAACTGAAACAAAGGACCTTGCTGTACTTCTCGGAGCGAATTAGGAATCCAAGGTCGAACAGCAAACTGCAGTGCAACTTGTGTGGGGTAACGTAACAGAACAAAAGTATTCACAAATCTTATTAGAGAGTTTAAGTGAAAAGTGTGCCTTAAATAGACTCTTATTCAGTAGATGAAAAAAAAATGCTTAGTGAAGGTGTGAGGAAATAGCTATTTTAGGACTACAATTAACTATATCAGCTGAATTTTAATGGAACTAGTACATTTAATTGCATTCCTAACAAATTTTCTGTTCTCCAGATGATTAACTTGCAGAATGATACCAGCTCAAAGATTAAAATCTCATCAAATATCTAATGGTTTCTGTACAATATAATTGTGTTTGGTTTATAATAGTTCTTTTCTAATAACCATCTTCCGTCTATATAGCTGTAGATACTATAATTAGATTTTTTTTCATCTTGGTGTAAATGACATGACCTTGACCTTTAGAGGTTAAGTAGCTGTGGTCGGTATGGATCACAATTTCTTATATGTTTAATAAAATATTTATTTTTCATGTATGTATAATAAATAGAGTTTTCTTTAAATTTTGTTTAAAAACTACACAGGAGGACTACTTTATCTTTTCTTTCAATTTTAGAGAAATTAACAGACATATGTGCAACATTTATCATTTAGAATATCCTAATGAGTTTTATATTTAAAGTATTTTTTCTGTGCAAGTAAATGGCAGGATATATGTCTGGGAAAAAAAAATAATTGCAGTATTTGTGACTAAAGACCCTGTAAACATTTACTGAGGGATGAAGAGGTACCTTTTGTTGTAGTGTAATTCCTCAAGCTCCCTTCTTCCACTTCCTGTTAGTTTGCTGTTACACCATTGGGTCCTCCATAGTGCTTGTGGGCTGTGTTGTTAGGGGTATTGTTACCAGTTTTTATAATTGCTGGCCTTTTTTGTTCTTAGCCCATTCTGGCAGTTTATCCATAAATCTCTGTGATGCTCCAAGTTTCTATTGCTGCTTTTCTACTGTTTATTTCGCGTCAGTTTCACTCAGGAATAACAAAACATCGGTTCACCAACTTGTAGGAACAAGGAGGATTTTTTCAAGTGCTGGTGTTGAAGGGCTGTACTCTCTCTGTGTATTTATGTATTTAGGTATGTTTTATATACAACTATCAGAACCATAACTTTGCTCAGGGATGCTAACTGGGCAGCCATTCAGACCTTACTGCAAAGTCCCCATGGCTATGGAAAGATAAAGCCTTGTGACTCCCTCAGTAGAGGAGTTCCCCACCTCTTGTAAGTGCTGCTGGAGGAGGGGGGATGCTCTCCTTTGGCATCTCTTCCTTCAGTCCATGCTGGAGATGAAGGCAAGGGGTGTTCCTAGTACTGCTTCATTTTCCTTCAGTGCATCTGTGTGTCTACCTCTTGGTGCTTCACATTTCTTCTGAGGTACTGTCTGCCACTGGGTTTCTGAGTGTGGGAGAAGTGAATGTTTTTGCTCTTGTTTTGCCAAATACATGAGAGAGCAGCATGGGTTTTCTCTGGGGAGTTTTTTTTTTTTTTTTTTGCATATACTTCTCTAGATTCCTGAGAACTTACGCTTTGAGTACCACACAGCTTTGTCTCAGGAGAGTTGTATTTCTTAAGGAACGTTAGTCCTCCAGGTCAGCCCTTCTGTGCTGTGCTGTAGAAGCCACTGTCACTGATACTGGTATTGCAGTGGGGGACGGGAAGGGAACTGCCAGTGCTTCACTGCTAAAGGGATGTGTGTATGTGTCTATATTTTTAATGTTTGTGTATGTATACATTGAGCCTGTCCTAATGGTTTAATTAACCCTTATGCCTCACATATAGGATAGAATAATAATTGTCCTTTACCCCTTTCTAATATATTTTTAAAACACTGAACCATTCAAACACTTTCCAGAGATTTCTGGTATATTGATGATTAAAAACTGGGAGGCTTCATTTTTCAGGTTTATTTCCTGGTTGAGAAA